CAGATTTCTCTGGCTGACTTGAGTTGTAATACTTAGCCTGAGTGATGGATAACATTTTTGCAAGCTTCTGTGCAATGTGGAATTTACTGATGATTCCTGGGTCCTTACTAAAGCTGGTAATTGCTGCTTGTTTAACTTGTGGTTGATTTGCACCCTCTTGGGAAAGCTAACATCCCTGAAAATAACAGTGCAGAAACTTCAGTCTTAATGATTTGCTTTTCATTTTCCAAGTTTTTTAGGCTCTACTGTATGACTGTTGACTAGACTGTCAGAGCATTGGTCTTCATATAATGGTGTTTATGTGTGACTGCAAAGGCATGAATTTGTATATCAGTTTTTAACTGTTCAGTTGTTGTTCAAGACTAACTCTTCTATTTTAACTTAGAAAAGGGTAGCGTTGCTGAAATTTTCTGAGTGTTTAATCTGGGAAGTTAAGCCAACTAAGAGTCATTCTAAAGGATTGTATTGGGAGAAAAAAAAGTTAGGCATATTCCTGCTCATTACTGCCTGTTGGAGTTAGTTTAGGTTTGGAGTTGGTTAATGAAGGGAGGAGTTGTATCCAAAAATTTGGAGTGTGCTCTTCTGGACACAATAGCCAAAAGTATAGGAAACATTTTTTACTCACGTTCCATGTGTGCACCTGGTAAATGGTTTGAATATTGTGATGGAGCATCTGGCTTTTGTCGCTAGACCATGCACTAAACCGGCAAATAACAGTGTTCACCAATTATCTAAATTAAGTCTGGGTCACGCATCTCATCTCCTGTTTCTTGTTTGCTTTGAATGAATCCAAAAGTAGTGCTAACAGCTGGAATCCCTACTGAAGCCAGCTTGATCTGCTCTGGAGCTGCTCCAGCCAGTGCTCTGATAAAGCTTGATATCGTTTCATCTAGGAGGACCATAATGATTTCCCTTCATTGTTTAAAGTTTCGTTCAAATATTCACTGTGCCAGGAAAAAGGATATTTCACTTCTGCTTTTCTCCTTTTGCTGCTGCTGCTACTAAAAAACTTTTTTCTCCTTTCTTTTCTGAAACTTAAGCTAGAGTATGGCCAGTGCTTTAGAATTCAGTGGAAATTGTTCCACTTCATCTCCAGGGAATCAATGTTACAGTTGCAAAAGGTGCACACTGTAAATAAATAAATAATGCATCAATGTCTCAGAGTCAAAGCACATGTTCAGGTAAGAGAACATATTCTGTGGGGGAAGCCGGGGAAAACACTGGCCTTTTGCCCAGATTTCCATAGTAAGTAAAGCACCTAAATCCCTTTAAGGATCTGGCCTGCAGTCTGTTGTTGTTCAGCAGCTTTTTGATTGTGGCATTAAAAAAGGGTAGTAATATTGGATTAATTTTTAGGCAGTTCAGTAATCTTGGAATAATGTCTGCTCTCCAAAGAGAGACTTAAGGCCTCCATAATTTTGTGTTGTACATCGACTTAAAAGCGAGGTATTATCAGTCAACAAAGTTTTGTTCTCATTCTGTATCATCCCTCTGGTAAGGTTAGCAGAGCTCTGCCGAGCTCACACTGCTCTCACTGGTTGTGTAGCTGCATATCCCCTTTGGAAGCAGCTGTGCCTGTGGCAGAGATGAGCACCCAGTTCCCCTGACCCAGCCCTCCTCCCTGCCTGTCTGTTGGAATCGCTGCCCCCTCTCCTTTGCTCTCTGCTCCCCGGATGTGTTTGGTTTGCAGGGCAAGATTTTCATAACTGGGGGTACTACCAGGGTGGCTTTTGTGAGAAGCCACTAGAAGCCTTCCCCCATGTCGGACAGAGCCAATGCCAGATGGCTACAAGGTGGACCTGCTGCTGACTAAGTAGAGAACTCAGAAACGAAGCTCATCCCGGGAAGAACGGAAGGGTAGGGGGAAGGTGTTTTAAGGTTTGGTTTTATTTCTCATTTTCCTACTCTGATTTGATTAGCAATAAATTAAACTAGTTTTCCCAAGTCAAGTCTGTTCTATCTGTGACAGTAACTGATGTGCGATCTCTCCCTGTCCTTATCTTGAGCCTTTCATTACATTTTTCTTGCCTCTGCTCAGTTGAAGATGGGAATGATGGAGTGGCTTTGCTGGGCACCAAGGCCGTGTTTCCCAGTGTATGAGGATCTGGTTTTGCAGAAGATTACTATTTTAATTGTTAGATCTAATTCAGCTTTCTGTGCATGGGATGGGTGAAGAATGCACCTGCATGAGTTGCTGTGCTAGTAACTGGGATGGGGGAGGGATGCGTGAGGTGGGTTATCCTCACCAGTGAGGGCACAGCTCCCTCAGACCATATTTACATTGCAGATACAGCTGATTTGTGGTTTCCACCAGATTTCTGCCCCTAACAGACTTGTTTCCAGCACTGACTGTAGGCTGACCCTTACTGCTGTTATCAGGCTGATAGTGAAATGTAGATGCAGCTGTGAAGCCTTATATAATGGCAGAATGACAACAGAGCAGACAGGGTCTACAGCAAGGCATCTAGCCCACTGCTAGGTGTGATGGAAGAGAGCTTACTACTTGGACTTAAAGGTATTTGCTCTTGTTTAGCATAATCTCCTGCCTCTGTAGGCCAGCAGTCTCTAAGCATCTGTGGCTTGAGGTGTCAAGGTGAAGAACAGGTCCTGGTGAGTTACTTCTGCCTGCAGGTACTGTTCTGGTGCTTGTGGGGAGGAAAAAAGTTAATTCATGTATGCTGACTCCTGTGGATAGATTTTGTTCTTGGTAGCAGAGGGTTCAAGGGATCCTCTGTGCTGTCTCTGTGTAGCTTCTGTGCTGGTGTTTGTTGGCATGGTAAAATTACCTTGGTGATTAAAGCAGCATGTGCTATACTCTAGCTGGTCATGTGCCCCATGAGAACAGCATGGCTTTGGCATGTGCTTGGAAGAGGAAAACAAGACTTCTGGGGTTCCTAGATAAAAATTTCAATTGCTCTTAGTAAAGCCTATACTGTCAATTTCCAGTGCTATCAACTGTGCACGGCAGCTCATTGGGGCAGGTCGTGCAAATAGTGCACAATCATATCCTTGTCCTGTGGGACAGGCATGCACTATATTCTTGCATCTGAAGTTACGATGTTATGGTCTGAATGGATGGAAAACTAGATGGGCAAAAAACTGTTTGGATGGTTGGATTTGGACGGTTGTGGTCAATCAGTCGTATTATACCTGGAGGCTGGTAACAAATGGAGTACCATAGCAATCTATCATGGGACCTGTCCTGTCAACCACTATTATTTATCAGTAATCTGAAGCAGGTGGTAGAGTGCACTCTCTTCAAGTGTGCAGAAGGCCCCAAACTATGAGGCCCAGTTTATGCCCTCGAGGGCAAGGCTGCAGCTGAAAATGGTCCCAGATGGATTCAGAGAAGAGGCCAGCAGGAACCTTATGAAAATAAACATGGGCAAATATAAGTCCTGCTCCTGGGAAGGAAGAGCCCCTTGCAGCAGTACAGGCTAGGGGCTGCCAGCAGCTCTGATTAGCTCTGCTCCCCTAGGGAGCCTGGCAACACCCAGATGGTCTTGGAGGGAAGTGAACTGAACATGAGCCTGCAGCATGCTTCCTGCACAAGAGGCTCCAGGGCACTATTTACAGGAGCACAGCACATAGATTGAGGGGAGTGATTATTGCCCTCTCATCTCTGGGGAAACCACATCTGGATACTGTCTGCAGTTTTCCAACTGAACTCGGTTCATCATCTTCCACCACTCTTGCTGCTAATACTAGCAGGCAATGAAAGAAAATGCCAGAGGATTGGTAACAAGGCTTCTACTGCAACAACTTTAGTGGTGATTGGTATCACTACTAAGTAGCCCCAATAATGAAGAATTGACTCTGAGACAAAGATCTAGTACCCCACCAACAGTCTTACCCGCTCTTCCGTGCATTCTGCTTAGGCTGCTAATGATGTCAACGTTTTTGCTGTAAAAAACCTTATAAGACATTTTGACTGTCATGTGGTTTGGAATAATTCATGTTAGGATTATCTCATCATTCAAGGTGAAATTTAAACTGTGAATTAAGCGATTATATCAGCAAGTCTGAAGATGATCAAAGAGAAAAGTATGCTCTGAAAGCTGTTTGGTTAGTTCTGTGGCTCAGTCCATGAAAGCAAACATGCACGGCCCTGTACAAACACAGCACAAAGGAGCTGCAGTTTTTTGCAGACTTTGCTCTATGAACTTTTACCCACACTTCCTGGGGACCCTTTCTGTGTGTTGGACTAAGGGGTCTATATGACAGTGACTGGAAGATATGAACAGAGGAGGATGGTGGTAGTAACGCATGACATGCTGGGATTGCTTTCTACTTTCATTATGACTGGTAAATCAATTTTGCAATGACTGCTTATCTTCAGAAACCTAAGCAAACTTCAGCTGAAACTGCTTCAAAGTCACGTAGCTTGTAGATGACAAACTTGTACCATATATATTAGTGCTTTAGTTTAATTCAATGGTTTTCTACCTTAGTGTATGTATTGTGAATTGAGTGTCCCTGGTGGTGCAGTGGCTAAACCACAGCGTTGTCAACGCTGAGATCTGGGTTCGATTCCCGGTTAGGACACTCCCCGGGCAGATGGAGCTCGCTAGCCCTGTAAGGCAATCCATCTACGTCCTGAGGACCTCACTGCCACCGTCCAAGCGTGCTTAGCCCCGGCAGATGAACCTCAGGATTAAAGGGTGGGCTCAGTTCCGCGCACACTGTGTCTCACCTAAAAAATCCAATGCGCAGGCTGGAAGGTGGAAAGACCTTCCCCGGTTCTTCGTTCGCGAAGAGACTGGCCATTATGTATTGTGAATTACGAAGGGTATTTATTTTCCTGTTTGGAATTTCATGCTGCCTAACCTGCTCTGTGAAAGAAGTTTGTGGAAATATACCGTCTGATGGTACCTGCTGCAGGTTTTGGATTGATAATCTGAAAAATGCTGAACCAAACTAGTGGTGGGATGATACTTAGAAAATTAAAACTGAAGGTAGGCACCTTGTAGAATAATTATTTTACAATCTTTATCTTGCAGGCTATGGTTGCTTGCTATCCTGGAAATGGAACTGGTTATGTTCGTCATGTGGACAATCCAAATGGTGATGGGCGCTGCATCACATGTATTTATTACCTGAATAAGAATTGGGACTCCAAGGTGAGTAAGCCATAGGTTTGAGGCAGAACATTAAAGAAAAACTACTTCAGAAACAGATCTTTGGAGCTGTCGGTTGTTTCTGTGAACTCTGAACTTCTGAACAGCTGCTCCATTCTTCATCTCTGCTTTTTTTTTTCCCTTTTATCTTTATCTTGGTTCCACTTACTTTAGACAGAAGGTTATGCTGAAGCATTACAAGCTGTTTGGGAAAATCAAGGTGACCAGGAGATTCAGTAAGGTTTTCTGGTGTTGTCACATAGCTGTCTTGGTTATCATTAGATGTTTATTCCCCATTTGTCAGGTGTTGAGGAGGGAGAAATAAGTCATTGTTAACATGAATGTGTGGGTGTTTATATGGGTAAAATGCAATCTTTCCTTTTCTTTCAGCTGCATGGTGGAATTCTTCGAATATTCCCAGAAGGAAAGTCCTATGTAGCAGATGTTGAGCCGATTTTTGACCGATTACTTTTTTTTTGGTCAGATAGAAGGAACCCACATGAAGTCCAGCCTTCTTATGCAACCAGGTAAGTAGCATATTTGGTATTGGTATTTGGGTAGGAAAAACCCCAAAGCGTCTCTTCTACCAGTATTTGTATCTAACAATATGGTCATAATGTATAAATATACATGTGCATAAAAAATAGATTTTGAGTGAATTTTCTGGTTTCAAGTCACTAGGAATTCTCTCATTAAATAAAAAAGAGCAAGCTTGAGTGATAAGTTTCCTTATGTGATGGAAAAAAAGGCCTTTAACCATTGACAGCAGAAATCGTCAGAACAGGCATGGCTATTTAGCTGGGAGGTGCTGGGTTATTCTTTTGCCCTTGAATACTATAGGGATTGTTGGGACTACCGTCTGTCAGCAGGCTATGAAAAGCTGATGTGATGCAGGGCAACCCCCAAGCTGCCTACAGGCGTCCCAGAGCAGAAAAACATGCAAAGGCCTGAAAGCTACTTTTGCCCTCTGTTACCAGGGGCTGTGCTCTCTGTTGTGCCCCCAAACAGAAATTCTCACCTATATTTCTATTTGACTTGATAAAATACATGCTAAAATGCTGTCTGTATTTGTCAATAAAGATGAACCATTTTCATCCTATTTTTTTATCTGCTAATCCAGTTTTGTGTTTTGCTTTCTCCATGAACATAAAACTCCAGGGTTCTATTTTAATAGCAAAGGTTGAAACAAATGCAAATTTTCTTTCTTTCTTTTATAGATATGCCATGACGGTGTGGTATTTTGATGCCGAAGAAAGAGCAGAAGCCAAAAAAAAGTTCAGGAGCTTAACTGGTATGATTATTTTTTTTAATAAATGTTCACCAGAAAGAATTTAATGCATATTGATATTTCCTAAGTCAGAGACAGACCAGGAATGATTCTGTAGCTAGAGGGGTATGTAATGCATTTTCAGAAAGCTTTTTCACCTCTAATCACTAGTCAGTTATTTTATGCAAAGTGGAGAAGCTGTGGCAGAAGATGATTTAGGCTTGGCCCTAGTATCCCTGATGAATGTGATGGGGACAATGGGAAAGACAGTGTCTGATTTCTCTCCCAAATGACTGAGATTTTTTCCAACCCAAGGTTCTACTCATAGAGTCAGATTGTCTTTTGTTATTTAGGAAGTATATTTCTAGGTGGAAATATTTGTAATGACCTTGGAATGTATAGATTATGAGTTGGAAAGAAACTAAGTTTAGAAATACATGTAAATGCATCTTCTGGCAGGCAGCACTGAAGTAGCTGTGATCATGGTGCCCTTCAAGAGCTACCTAGTAGCTTCAAGTCAGCCCACAGACACTTTGGCAGAAGCCCACAACAAGGTGACTCCAGCTTTCTAATGGCAGCCACACTGACTGCTACTGTAGTAATGGCATATGAGTCATGGACTGAGTTGCCCATATATGTCCCAACACCCTACCTGGGACCATGATCAAAGGTTTGCTGTTTGGAGCAGTGTAAGATTTGGTCTTCAGGGGCTGCCTCAGGCAGTTCCTCAAAAAACAGTGTGGAGAGCACTTCTCTTTTTGAAAACACGTGCAGCTGGGTCCAGCAAAGTCGTAATTAGTGAAATGATTTTCAGAACAGACTGCTGTCATCTCTGTAGCTTGTATGCAAAGCAAATACTGGCTTCACCCTTAAAGAGGATCATGAGCCAAGAAGAGGTGGGAGGAATTATCACTGATTTGGAGTTTGAAAGTTTATTGGGCTTCTTAAATATTGCATGGGTCATCTTCAGTTTGAATGGGACAAAGGTACAAAATCTTGGTGTGACTTTCATTAACATGCTGTGGTATCATACAGCATTTCAGGCCACATAGTGGATTCATATCAGGATTCTGAAATGGAAAGTATTGTCCACTGAAAACAAACCAAGTTGTTTCTGAGTTTTCAGATGAGTACTGTCAGAAACCCCTGGTTTAACTACTTCTCATTTTTTTTCTTTTTGATGTAGATGCAAGGAAGAGAGAAGCACCTGTTAATGAAGACTAATCAACTGTTTCTGAACTCTTTGTGAGGAAATAAGATCCCAAAGATGACTTCCATTTCCAGCAAAAAATGACAAATTGTTATTATGCACAAGAACGTACTGGTTGTGTCTAGCACGTGCATCTTATACTGATGGTACTTACGGCAGCCTCCTGTCACGCTGCATCTGGCAGAAGGAACACTTGTTTTGTTTTTGCCTTTTGCTGGAAAAAGAAACCAAGGTTAAAAAAAAAAAAAGAGTATCATTAAGCCTAGTAGTAGTGGCTCAGCCAACTGGCTTTTGATCTCTCTTGTAACTAAGATAATGATCATTGGAACTAGTGGTAAAAACCTGAGTCTTATTTGCACTTTATGGGAAAGAAAAAATCTAGCTCAATGGGAAGGAGCTTTGCAAGTTTAAAATCTGTGGCAGACTGCTAATGGGCACGGAGGTCTATTGGATATGTGCAACTAAATTGGATATTTCACAGATTCGTAGAGTGTCATCTCATGGTCTGTCCCAAGTGGACCTGTTGATGTACTGTTCATCACTTTGCAGAACATTAGTTCAGCTCTTCGATAACATGACTTTCCAAACAGATTTTTTGTCTACACAATCATTGCATTTCCTGGATTTTATTTGCTCTTCAAGAAGCAAGTTTTAGCTAGTTGCACTACTTGCACTGCCCTTTCTGTCTAAGGACTGAGGGGATAGTAGTTATGTATCTGTTCACAACTTTGTAAAACCATTTCTTTTCTGTTCTGAGTGGGATGGGTTCTACGTTTTCTGTTTTCACAGTTTGGTACAGCAACTGTTTTCTCCCTAAAGTCTGGTAAACTTGGAAAGCTTATGGCACACAATATGTTGGCACTAAAGGCCAGTACTATGTAGAGTTTAGGGTTTACTTTGTGACTTCTCCAACTGTTGTATTCTGTATGACACAGATATGAATCTGAAAGGAAAAGAGATATCTGGCAGTCTGACAAATATATGATAAATAATGGGTAACTTAGACTTGATTTTTATGCTGATTATTCTTAGTTAACAGACTTGTTTAATTTTGCATGCCTGTGTAATTTGAATGAAACAGCAATTCCGTTTTAATTGATCTGTTATGCCAGGTAACTACTACTATTGTGCCCAAGCTGTGAGATTAGAGTTATTCACACATTTTTTTCTCCGTTATTTTTTTAAACTTAATAGACTCAATGAGTAAGTGGTCAACTATCTCCAATCTGTCTAAGCTTCTACAACCAGCACTTACTATGCAGTTCAGAATAGCTCTTAATGAAGCTGAGAGCTGGTAGTGGATGTATTTATCACTCACACTAACTGTTCTCAACCTAATACACTCACTTGGCATTCATTTTTATCTCATCTTGTGTATGTCAGACTCTATTAAGTGTTCCAAATAGATGCCCCCTTTGGTGTCCCATATTTTCCTGTGCCACCTGCCCACAAGGGTGAGTGTGGTCTGTCTGGACTATTGGCCCCTACGGTGGCACGCTGTACCAGGCTGTCATGATAGTGATGGGTCTGCAGGCCAGCTCTGTTGCATTTGAGCTAGGGAATGGAAAAGTAGCGTGCAATGGCAACTATTAAATGTCAGCGGCAGAAGGGTAACAGCTGCATAGGACAGAAAAGAAATAACTTTCATAACTTAAAAAATTATAATATAAAGGAAGTATTTTTTAAAGCAGTTTTGTGTCTTAAAAAAGAAAATAAACTGGGCATTCTTCAGCCTGTCCTTGAATGCTGAATGTAAATACAGTAGTGCTAAGAAACCCCTCATTCTCTCTGGCTTCTCCCAGAGATCCAGCTGCGGTCTTATAGGCCTGACCACTGTGCACCTTAAGAAAGGAGTATGAGGGAACATGTGTGACAAATATTCTTGCTATTCTTGCAACTCAAGACTAGAAAACAACAAATAATCTGATAAATGTCCTTTCGTGTTACAAAAAACATTATTCCTCTATAGTTGCTTCTAAGTAACACACCATAGATTTGAAGGAAACTTAATGATAATTTAATTCTCATTCTGCAATGTTAGTGTGGGAGGAGAGAGTTAGGGCTCTTCCTTGAGAGTGAGAGGTAACCCTTTGAAACATGAGGTGTTGAAAAAGGGGGCCCTTATTTAAAAAAGGTGGTGGAACACAAACTGTTGTATTACTATGCAAAGTTGATAATGTTATGTAAATTTTAAACTCTTACATGATTTTAAAAGGAGCAAAACCAGCTAAAACAGAGCAGAGCAAGTATTGCTTTGCCTCTAGTGACTGTAACCTTAAAAATGCACTAGAAAGAGATGTTAGTTCACATCTTACTGGAGCCTGGAACAGTGGAAAACCAACGTGATGGGAGGGGAAAGGCTTTTGTTTAAAGTCTGAAAAAGGAAGGTACTTTACACCACTGTTGTTACCACCTGGTTTCTGCAGTGGTCAGCAACACGTGTAGTGGATGGAGCATGGAGCAGTATGATTGCATTTATTATAAATAAAGTACATGTTTTCATTTTTAGCCAATATCATCCTCATCTAGATAGAAGACAGAACAGAGAGCCCTGTCTTTATTAACATACATAATCAAGTGCAAAAAAGTTGAAACCATTTCCTCAGTCCTCTGCTTCAGACTTTTACCCTGTTTCCACAAGAGTGGGATTATCTCCTTGCAGATACTGTAGTTTAATTAGGGGTGGGATGTATGGTTTGTTGCTCATGTAAGAATACCCAGGTGTGATGTTTTCTACATTGATTTCTCTTACCTGTCTCTGGAATTGTTGCAAACTGCTCTGTAAGAATGAAATTGATTAAAGAATTGTGGGGGAAGCAGGCTGCTACAGTGGGGAGGCCATTTCAGCGAGGCTCTTTCCTTGGGTATTGTCTTCATGGCAAGCTGTTTGAATCACATATGGCTAAACGGCACTTGTTAGCCAGTTGGGAAAAAGTGTTTTCTCTAAGGCATTTAATTTTTAATCCTCCGAAAGTTCTGGGCTTTTTTTTTTTTAACCTTTAGAAAATGTGCCTTCATCATTTGTATCTGTGAAGAAGTTTCATGCCGCACGTGCATGTCATGCTAGTATTTCATGGCTCTTAAGAAATATGGTTGCCTTTTCAAATGCAGTTGCATGGGAAAAATGTGCAGAGCCACCAAACCACAATTTTCAACTGGTGTTTTTTGTTGTACAGGGAGGAAAAAGGCCAGGAAACAGTGCTGAAAATCAAGAGATTATTTTTATTCCTAAACCTGCAGCCACTGGCCTTTTGAGCAAAGTAGCCTCTAAAATATCTTTTTCTCTAGATTACTTCTGGCTCTGTGAGGAATGACTTCCACAAAGGAGTGTCTAAAAAGATCCACTCTTTTTTTCCTTCTATCTTTAAACAGTTTTAGTTGTTTCCAATTGTGTTTTTAAAGATGTTGGAATTTATTATATGTATTTGTTGTTGCAAAATAGCTGGCTCTAACACCACTTGCATCTAGAAGAAAATATCTATTTGCAGGCAAATGACTTCTGCTTTGACTGTGATGTACTCCCAGCAGATATCTGAGAGTGAGTTATAACTACATCTTCTCTTGTCAGGTTGTATGCTGGTCAACAATGCTGGCACTTTGCATTGGATTCATATAGAAACTCCTAGTAGTATTTTACCATACATCACATTTTGTGTTCCTGTTACTATTTAAAAAAAAAAAAAATGTAGCAGGAGTCAATAAACACTGGGTCATGTTAAACACTGTCCTGTGCAAATTTCTTTAGTCTTGTGTCTTACTGTGGCCAGGGATGTGAGGGATGGGTGCAGTGCCATGCTGCTGGATGTAGGGTAGTGGCACTGCACAGAGATGACACTAAAATCCATATCCAACACTGTCTTCTGCTATTGGAGAGACTTTTTTTTGTTGTCCTCAGTTTGGCACATTTCATTGGTCACATCCTGCTATTTGGAAGTTATTTACCTTGCTAGTGACCCTCTTCTTGAAATGCCCATTTGTTTTCACACTCCTGTTGAACCAGATAACATTCTCACGATTCAATTGTTGTTTGATAAGTTTTATTTTTAACAGTGTTCACATCCTCCCCCTGCTACTTTTCCAGCCCGAGTCCCACAGTTTTCTCCTGTGGCTGTGTGGGAGACTTCTCCTCACTCCCACTAACACTGCAGTTGAATGAAAGCCAGGGCATTTTCAGCCATTTAGCAGAGCTGTGAACTTTCTGATTCCTTTGCAGTATTATGAATAGCGAGAATTTCCCTTTTCCTATTAAAAACATGCATTCAGGGCTTGGATTTTACTTTTTTTTGTTGCTGTTTTTTTTTTTTTTTGTTAAAGGATCTCTAAATAATTTGCCATTTATTAAAGCATTTATTTTACACTGAGGAGTGCTTAGAGCATGTGGAGAAGACCTCAGGAAAGCAGAGGCGTTTCTCTTCTGAGCATGCTCCTCACAGGCTAAAGGTTTGTAGGGACAGTTTGAGAAGAAGCTGGCTGTTGGCCATCCAGCTGCCAAAAACTTCTCTCTGAACTCTGACTAAACTTTCCCTAAGCAAATATGTTTGCAGTAATTGTTATCTTACAGCTATTTAGGGGTCTCTTTCCTCCCCCACCTACCCAAAGGGATATGGCTAAATATATTTGCACTGACAATTCCCATGACTCTTGAGAATGCATCTGATATCAAAGGTTGCACTGAAAATTGCAGAGTGGAAGAGAGGTTAGTAAAAATTGATTCCCCTTTCCCACATAACGTCTTTTAGAGATTTGGTAAAACTCCCATCCTCTTCCACAAAGCTTCTTCTTCCACATAGATAAATTTTTTTATCTGTTGTGAAAAGCAGGGATAATTTCATCTGCATGTGTGCTTATTTTAAAAAAAGTTGGAGATGCTACACTAGGTCAACTGCAGTCAACAGCAATTCCTAAATGGTGGCAAATGCAGTCAGTGCCAGCATGCCCACTGCTCCTGTGCTGGACACCCACGGTGGTAAGTCTTCCTGCTAGAGAGGAGGCAGTTTGTGGTCCCTGATCTTAGCCAACACACTGGATCCTGATTTGACAGGAGGGGAGTCAGAATGTAACTGGCTCTTAAAAGCCTGCTTTATGGGGAGCTTGTGAGAAGCATGGAAAGAAAGACCCTGTAGTCTAAACAGCGGAGCTCTGAAGATCACTTGTGGTTACATGCAGCTGTTCCCTTAATTTTGACATTTTCTCAGCTCATACCTGCTGACTGTGTTATGAGAAAACACCTCAGAGCAGCAAAATCAGATTGGAGATTTAAACTTGTGTGCTCAGGGAAAAGAGCTCTCCAAAGAGTGGAGCCAGTGCCTTTAAACAGAAGGGTTTCTGTGCCATAATGTATCCTTTTTTCTGCCAGCTGTGGCAGTCTGATTATTAAAAAATGCTATCTTCCCCTTACAAGCCCTGTTTCTCTGATACAGCTGTTAAAATTTAGTAACTTCCAGAACTGTGAACTTAGAGTATTTTCCTGGTCCCTAATGGCCCATGAGCTATGAAGCGTTGCTGCTGCATGATGTTTTGAACACCATAATGCTGTATGCAGCATAGACGATTTCTTAATGAGAAACCATTATTCAGTATGGCAAAGCAGCAGCAGAAGGGTTGGCACTACTTAAAAGAGGTCCTCTTTGCCCTGTACAGCTGCTGGTGGTGCTGTGGCAAGCAAGTTTTGTTGTGCTTTTCTAATAACAGTAATAGGTGAGAGCAGACCTGGGCTGGCATGAGTGGCCACAGGCCAGTGGTGTGAGCTAAGAGTGGGACATGTTTGCCCAGCACCCTGGGAACAGTGGCTCTGGCACTGAGCTGCCCTCTGTCAGTGTGAGTTGCAACTGGGCACATCATCCTGCTAATGTGGATGAGCCCAGGAATCTGATATAGAAAGCTGAGAATGGGAACCTAAGCATTTATATATTTAGGGGTTACAGCATGGAGTTGTGACCACCCTTTGCCTTTGCTCCTTGGCAGAGGGAACTGAAGTCACAGCTTCCATTAGGATGCTGGGCAGAGGGAGCAAAGCCATCGTCCATTCAGGCTTCTCTTTCACACCAGAGGATTTCATAGATAGGCAAGGGAGCTATTTGAGGAATAAGCCAGCAACACAGCAGTAAAAACCTTCCCCTGGGAAGTAATGATTCTATTTTGGAGCAGCATCTTTCCAAGAACTGCAGATTGACCAGGAATTGTGCAAAAAGGGGACATTTTTCCCCATCTTCAGTATTAGTGGTGGCCTGGCTGAGGTGTTTACATGACTAGGCTGCTGGCTGATATGGCAGTCAAAAGTGCCTGTCTCTTAGGTGTGGATGTTAGGAAGGGAACTGCTCTGGGAACTGAAGATGTGATCTGTGGGCACTGCAGCACCAGCCTTGTAATGCCTGCAACTTGTGAGCTCTTAGTTTCAAATCCCTCCAGTGCATGGAAGGAGTGAAAAGAGAAGTTTAAAAAAAATCCTGCAATTTAGAGTGGTGGTATGTGTGGGAAGTGGCAAGAGTCATTTCCCCTTCAATGGCAACACTTGCAGCTTAAGCCCTGAGAAGCAGGATCTCTATCCTGTATAGCACAGAACAGTCACTCACACATCTGTCTCCCAGGAGAATGCCCAAGTGCCTTGCTCGGCTGTGAACGCAGATACATCCTGGACTCATCTACATGGGTGCTGGGATCCATCAGCAGTGCTGGTGAGCTTTACAGAAGGCTGGGGTAGACAAAGACTCCTGGGGATATCCATTGACATAGACTTGCCACCTCTCACGGGGTGAGCCACAAGGCCACCTAGTCTCTGCTGGCCACCCCTCTCTGTAACTCACATCCCACCTTTCTATGACAAATGGCTGGGTTTGTTCCAGTTTTACATTCCTGTTGATTTACTTCCTTTCTACGGAGTGATGCTGTCCTCACAGCTCCACTGTCACTGCCATGGCTGGTGTCCTACCTGGGCCAGGAGTAGCAACAAGCCCTGTTTTAACAGTGGAGAAAAGCTGCTTTCGAAGCCAAGCCCCAAGTCCCCCTGAGAAGAGCATCCAAAGCTGAGCACGTCTGCTACCATGGGAGGCCCTGCAGAGGATGGTCACTCTGGCTCTTCAGGGTGCGTTGTCCCTTCCCCATCAGAGGACGACAAGCTGTTACAGCTTATGAAAAACAACACCTACTGTCATCATCCCCTCTTGCTCTGATACTGGTACAAGAAATGAGCTACATCTCCACGGTGCTGTAACAGAGACTCTGAAGCCATTACCTGTGGGTAGTGGGAAGACAAAAGTATCCAGGGTGGCAGGCAGCTGTGTGTGTTTGCATATGCTAGTGTATGTTTGTTTCCCAGTGCAACTGGAGGGAAGCCTGATTTCCAGGAGGAATTTGAGATAACTGAAAGTCACTCTTCTGTTACCAGCTGAGGTTGGTAATATAAGATAGTTCTTTTTCCTAAAAGGACTGCAAAATGAAACCACATAACACATCTTTGAAAGTGGAATAATTTAGACAGCAGTAATTTTACTATTAAGCCCTTATTACCACTCAGCTAACCTCCTAGGCTCTTTCACTAGCTACTGTTACTGGAGAAAAGATATGTTGCATTTTCCAGTGTACAGAAGGAACTCATTCCCTTTGCCAAGACTGACATAGGAAAGGATCTATACTTCAAATATTTACTGTTCCTGAAAGGGGCGTCTTTGAAGTTCTTTTTTAAAAATTTTTTTATAACTTTTTTTCTTAAGTAAACTGAAGGAGAGGAGTTAGAAAAACAGAAGTGTAGCATCTGCTCTTGATATAACTAAAACTTACTAGTGTTGTGCTCACAAGGGAGCAGGCTTAGACTGGACTACAGCACTGTAGTAAATCACAGCACTTCCCAGTTCTCCTGCCGGTCTCCTGCCAGCTGTTTTGCAAC